TGTGTTACTGTTTTGTGTTGTTGTTGTTGTATATAGTGCACACACTTGTATATTATCTCTTTATTTTATCTCTTATTTTATCTCCTCTCTCTACTGTATTTGAACTGGAGTTACTGGAACAAAAATCATCTCCCCCTGAAGATTATTGAAGTATTTCTGATTCTGATCTAAAAAACGTTCTCCTACCTGGTACCTCTTCACCAGAGCTTCATTTTTCTTCCTCAGAGCTTCGATTCTTCTGTCCAGCTCTGCATCCTTCTCCTCCTTTGTCTTTAGATCCACCGCTGAAGACTGGCACAAAGGGGAGAAGGGTCAGGGTTCGGGTTAGATCAGGAAAACAGTGTTGATCTGGTCGTTTAAAGACTTTGATTTACAACGATGTCCAGAATGATCCTTATTTTTGTTCAGGAGGAGAACCACTCTGACACACATCCACTCAAAGGTTATTTAGGTTATTATCTACAGTTTATTTAAAAGAACAGATCAGTGTTTGTCCTTCAGATCTTCCTCTAAAGCTTCTCCTCAGTCTCACACAGACTGTTGAACCTCATACTCATCCTCACCATAGCTGACTCGGTGGTCCGGTCTTCATCCACAGGTGGCTGACGGCTCGTCTCTCCTGAGGAGACAAAGACACAGTAAAGAAGGAACTGTTAAAATAATCAATTAAGGATTAGAATAACCTGATGAGGACAAAAACACAGACTATAAAGAAATAAATGTTTCACCTACAACGTCAGAGTTCGGTCGGGCCTCCCTGTGTGATTCAGTGACACTGCAGCTCATTTAAAAGGACAGTCCCGAATGTGTTCTTTAAAGGGATATTCCTGCGTTAAATTAATTTAGGGTCAAACCCACCGTCACACAGAGTCAGACCCCCCCTCCAGAGATGAATGTTGTCGACCGCTTCCTTCTCTAGTTATACCAACTTTAGTAACGACCGCAGGATAGAAATACAGAGAGACACGCCCCCAACCAAAACGCCACTCTATAGCCACAAATAATGCTCAGAGCAGCACCTAACTTCATCAACAGGACATATAGGGTCACAGACATAGTACTATATTCAGAGTTGTTTTAACTCCTAAGAAAACATAAACTTAAGCGGGGGCGTTTCTCCACCTCTGTAGTCTATAAGCTGGGCCAATAAACTTCTACTGTAGTAAAATGAAAAGTTAAAGGTGTTTTTATTGAGCCGAATTATCAATAAAATCATGATTTTGTTAACAGGTATGGATTTATGTGCTGTCGAGTTAATATATTTGAACAAGAGCACAGTAAAGTTAAATCAGCTAATTTTCCAATGAGGTTCTGTTACTGAACTGAACTACACCATGTTCTACTGAGGTTAGTACATATAGGGTCACAGACATAGTACTAGACACCAAACATCTTTTTAACTTTGACTCATTTCTTTAGCAAAGAGACTAAACACAACTCACCTACTCTCTTCCAGCAGACGCTTGTTTGTAGAGAGACCTCAGGCCAGTCCATTACAGACTACAGCGGGGTGACGCAGCTCAACGAAGAACATTTCTGATCATTTCTTTATAGAAATACAATCAGACCGAGACGCTAAGACAGAAGAACTACAGCGTCTGTAAAATGATTAATATGGTGATTATTACTTCAAGGAAATGATAAAGAAATGATCATAAATGTTCTTCTTTGAGCTGCGGCACCCCGCTGTAGTCCGTAATGGGGTGTCTAACTCAGTGCTATGGTGTGTTTGACCCTAAATTAATTTTATGCCAGAATATCCCTTTAAGTGAGATGATCCTTTAAGCTGAAAGTTATTTCAGTTGTTTATCAAGTTTAGAAACTGAAAGTCTGGAGGTTCATGATGATCAGAGACTTTAAAACTTTCAGCTCCTCTGATGATCCAACAGCTGATCACAGGTGAGGAAGCAGCCAGGTGTGTGCGTGTGTGTGTGTGTGTGTGAGTGTGTGTGTTAGATGTGTGTGTCTTTGTGTGTGTGTGTGTGTGTGTGTGTGTGTATATGTTAGTCGTGTGTGTCCTAATCTGGTCTAATCCCGGGTTGTTTCAGAGACTAAATTCCCGGACCCAAACACACAGTCTGGACTGAATCCTGTCCCCCTTTAGACCCGGACTGGTTCCCCACAGACAGACCCAGTCTCGGGTCTCCTGGTCCCGGGTCTCCTGGTGGGGGGGGGTAATGGACCCAGACTGATCCGTGTCTGTCTCTGAACCGAACCGAAACCGACACAACAGAACCCCCAAACACTCACTGACCGTCAAAGACAACAACAGACCGGGTTTCCGGGTCAGTCTTACCTGTCTGAGGGAGTCTGTACTGAAGAACCTGAAGAGTTCGGGTCTCGGTTCTTGGTGCCAAGTCCTGCTCCTCACTATGTCCTCATTATTACACTTCCGGTCGGCGTCTTCTTCTCTGCTTTAAAATGGTAGTTGGGTATTTACAGTGTTGTAATACCGCCCCCTACTGAGACTTTAACTGAAGTGACATTAACAAAGACTGACTGTAGTTTAACCTAAAAGGTCAAAGAACTTCAGTTTAAACTAATAAACAGTTTTTATCCTGCTGCTGCTGCTGAAACTCTAAGGTTTAGAATTAATCTGTTTTTCTTCTTCTCTTGTTCGGTCACAATGATGTTAAAAACATGTTTATCGATGGGTAAATATCAGGATTAATGATTCTTTTTTTTATAATTTCAAGTGTTGATCTGTATGAATGGTCTGTTAATAAAAGGATATCCAAAATAATAAACATTAATTTAATTATAGGGAAATATCATAAACACAGGAATAAATGGAACAACAGCAAACCACCATAAACTGTTTTAAGAATGAAATTAAAAACAATAAAACATCTCTAAGAGGAAAATCAGTCTCTGAAAAAACTGTATCAGACAATAATAAAGTCTCTTTAAATTTAATCCTATTTTAACATAATTAAATCACTTTTAATTGAAATGTTACCTCCTCTTATTATTTTTATTTTATTTGTACCTTGTTTAGTGTGTTTGTGCTGTTTGGAGTGCAGGCAGTTATGTCCTCTGATGAGTTATTTCAAGATTGTCAATTCATTTTAAATAAAAATGTACAAAATGTTGTTAATTCGAATAAAGTTTAGAGAAGTTTTAGAGTGGAGTAGTTTATTAACCGTCCATTAGAGGGCGCCAGCCTACAGGAAACGAGAGGTGACCCAGCGGTGAGGAGCCCGCCAAAACTCTTAAAGGTAAACAAAGGTGAGTCTGTGAGGTTACACAGGATCGATGTTTATTGATGAAAACTTATGAAATACAAACCTCTGTATTTAGGATTAACTTCAGTATTTTCACCTTTGACCTCGACACGTTTGGAGGCAAATGCTCGAGTTCTCAACTGGTGGGTCCTGACCCCAAAGTGGGTCTAGGACATGTTCTGGATGGGTCGCAAACAGCTGGTCAAAAAGTAAGTATGTAATTCTTATCTGATGTTGGGGATGACTATTTATTTGTTTGTTTATTAACTCCCTTTGAGGATTAACAAACTTCTTATCATCTGATGCTTTACATGTCTTTTATTTTGAAAAATATCTTATTTTGAAAGGCACACGTTATGTCCTGGTCCTCCTCGTTTTTTTTTTTTATTATATGAATGTGGCCTCAATGCAGTAAAATTAAATACAGGTTTTTTTTATAATTATTATTATTGGTCTTTATTTTGTGTAATTTGATATTTTCTGTATATTTTACGTCAGCAGTCATCGTCTTCAGTTCATGTGCTCTAAAATTCACTTTACTCAATAAAAACAGGTGAATTTATGTTAAAGATTTAAGACTTTGAAGGTTTTTTTTTTACAAAAACTAAATTTTGTTTGTTTGAATTTTATAAAAGTGGGTCACAACCCCAGAGTGAGACCAGTTCAGAACCTCTGCTCTATAAATGGCTGTGATAGATTTTATAAGTAGGACCGTGCAGGTGTTATTAAAGGTTCAAACATCCTGAACCTCTAAACCTGTCTGTACACTGACCTGCTCCACCATGTAGACATGAGGTTAGATACACACACACACACACACACACACACACACACACACACACACACACACACAGCTTCAGTGGACTCAGTCAAAACAAACAGCCTCTCTGTTGTCAGGCAGTTCAGTGAGTAATGACCACGCAGGATTTGGTAATCGCTTGATAAGATCGTGTAACCTGAGCCGAGCGTGTGTGTCATCAAGTTATCAGCACACACACACACACACACACTCACACACACACACACACACACACACACACACAGAGGAGAGCTGCTGCTGTGGTTCAGGTGGAGACAGGTGGAGACAGGTGGAGAAGCAGACAGCAGCATCAGTTAAACTGATCGCGCTGATGTCACAGAGATGACTGATTTCCTCCAATCAGAATCCTGATCATCCCAAAGTCCAGAACAACCACACATGTTGAGTAACTTCCTGTGGTGAGTGAACCTGAGACACCAGCAGAGAAGTTGTTGTAGGTTATATGAACAGGTGATGTTGTGTTATATAATTCCTGTTCTCATGTTCGCTCATGTCCTTCCTCATCACATCATGTCGTGGTTTTTCTCAGTGGGTCACATGACCTCACGTGACCTTTGACTGTGTGACCTGAAATGACATAATGTTTGCATGATGTAGTGGAGTCATATGAGGTCTCAGTCCGGTTTCACCACACGGATCCGTCCTGTCGGCTCTGTAACTGAGAAAGTGGGACATCCCGTCACGGTCGTCATGGTAACGCTGACCGACTGAATCTGGATCAGTGTGGTTCTGACAGGCTCAAAGATGGAGGAGAGGGTGGAGGAGTGGAGTCTCAGCTGTAATAAAATGGTGTGAAGAAGAGTTGATGTTATTGTGCTTCTGTTTTATTCATTAAGACTCATTATGTCACCCTCAGTGTGTGTGTGTGTGTGTGTGTGTGTGTGTGTGTGTGTGTGTGTGTGTGTGTGCACTCTCAGTTGATCCCGCTGTAATGATCCTCTGAAACAGCCGCTCCGTGCAGAGCTGTGGATCCTCTTTCCGTGGTCGCCTGGACGCCGAGGGAAACTCAGCGATGAGCTCATTGTTGTGAGAACCAAACAGCGGCCTCCTCCCGGGGGACGACACGAGAACCCCTGAGGCTCCAATCACGGACGGAGCGCGGTGACGCTGGTGTCTCTTGTTGGTATAAACAAGCAGCTGTCATGGTGGAGTGTCTCTGGGCAGATTCCACCGCTGAGGTGTCCGTCTGGAAAATTACAAACTTGGCTCTAAGAAAGTTTGACGCTCCTCCTGTCACACGTCTATGACCCGCTCTCTGATATCATCCATCTGACTGATGCTTCTCCACTGAAGATACAAACTGGACCAAGTGGAGGTCAGCTCAGAGTTGGTCCTTCTTCTCGCCATGTTTGAACCTTAGCACAGAAAGGTCAGACGAGTAACACGCCCCCTTTTGTACGGAGAGGGTAAATGCACCAGGATGTTTGAGATGGTGAAGACTTGAAAATGGAGAATCGTATGGTGCATGTCTGACATACTGTCTGTTGGTTAATCTGAATGAGCGCCATCTTCACGCCGCTCTCATGTCTCTGCAGGAGAAGAAGAAGACCTACGTGAGAGCAGACGTGATCTGCTGCAGCTGCACATTCCTCCAGACTGTGTGGATCTGACTGTCATAACAGGGATTTGGAGGTCTGTCAGACACCGAGCAGAGCACAGCACTGAATACACACACACACACACACACACACACACACACCCCAGGTCCATCTGTCGGACTCTGTTTGAGCTGGGACGGATGAGGTAATGGTGCTGCTCTTCACAGAGACCTTCTCCTCATCTTCAGCCGTTTCTCCTCTCCTCACTTTGACCCTCCTTCTGTTTCCATCAGGACAGAAGGTCAGATGGTTCCCCTTTAGATCCATAATCACAGGTGAATTCACAGAGTCATGTTCACCTGTTGGATGGAGAAAAACTCTCAGATACTCTTTTTTATTTGAAACCCTCCAGTGTTCAGTTAGCCGGCGTTTCTCTGGACAAACAGAGAAATTCAACAGCAGGTGATGTTAGATATGGAGGTCTCTGAGTCACCAACGCCTCACACCTGAGCTGATGTTTGAAACCTTTTTAATAAAGGTCAGAGAGAGCTCTTCATCCAAGAACAGAAAACCAACAGACTGAAAATATTCTCATATAATCATTTTAAAAACGACTTTTCCAAACATGTACATGAGAGAAAATCCTCCTTTAAACATCGACTTTCAACAGATCTGTGCAGAGGAAGAACAGCTGTAAAAATAAAAGACAATAAAGAGACAATAAAGACAAATAAAAGGACAATAAAGACAATAAAGAGACATTAAAAAGACAATAAAGAGCCTCTAAAGCTGCGAAATGAATTAAAGTCACAGAGAGAGTCTGTGTGAGGGTCATAGAGACGTGTGTTCACCTGATCTGGTGCTGTCATGTCTCTGCTCTCCTGTTACACTGTGTGTAACCCCCCCCCCCCCCCCCACCACCATTACATGATCAAACACACACACACACACACACACACACACACACACACACACACACACACACACACACACACACACGCTGGTGTATCGTGGAACTGAAAACCTTACAGGTGACTTCAGCACAGATGGCTTCAGTCCTGGACCCGCCTCAGTCAGCAGGGGTTCTGGTCTCTCTGCGAGTCTGTGAGTGACCCCCCAGTCTGGACTTCATCTCCTGTTGCAGGAAGTGAGGAAGTCCAAATAAGGGCGTTGGTGATGTTACTGAGGTGTCCTCCGTTCACATGTGAAATATCTGTAATCTATAATCTATGATCTACAAAGACCTAATCTATATCCAGAGTGATGCTCATGTTCATGTCTTAGAAGAACTTCTCCAGCCTCAGCGTCTCCATCTTCACAGTGAAGGACAGTAGAGATCCACGCTGGGGTGTCTGCTGACTCACTGACCATAAACACAACGGAGGAAATGACGTCACAGCGGACGGACGCAGAAACTTGGGCCGCTCATTCATGTGGCTGTGAGTCACAATAATGAGCTGCACCAGAACCAGAACCAGAACCAGAACCAGAACCAGAGCAGCGTCCTGACCCACATTAGCATTCATTATCTACTGTGGAGGAGCAGATGTCAGCTGAAAGAGCTGGAAGAGGAGGTTCGCCCGGGCATGTACCTGCAGGAGGAGGACCCCCCCGCACACACACACACACACACACACACACACACACACACACACACACACACACACTCACCCCCTAAATAAGGGGGTGGGGGGTTCTGGAGGCAGGCTGCCATTTCCAGCCGATTAAACAGCCTCTGACCCCCCAGCTGAGCGGGGCCGGCCCCGTCCCATACCCAGGACAATGATCTGAGGGTCGGGGGTCAAGGTGGGGGGGTCTGAAGTCATTTCAGATGCTAATGTCATGCAGAGGCTGTAAAGGCTGGAACAATCAGAGCTGTTTCTGTTTCTATCAGGGAATAAAAAAAAGACTTTCACAAGAGAAACCTGACGAGACGGGTCAGACTGAGACAGAACCACGGGTCCAGAACCATGGGTCCAGAACCACGGGTCCAGATCTCCAAAACCAGCCTGGGAATAATCCAGTTAGATCTCCGTATGTCACCGTCCAGATGAGTTTCATATCTGGATTAAACTGTCTGACATAAACGGATGACAGGGTTAATAAAACACTCACTAATCCTGGATTATATCTGCTCATGATGGAGGATTTGAGGATTATTGAAGTCCAGAAAATCAGGAAAAAAACCTGAATGTTCATCACTGAGAGCTGGTCCAGGTCTACATCTCTGCTGACTTCAGATCCAGACAGGAAACACTGGGACAGGAGGTTACAACAATAATAATAACAATAATGATAACAATAATAACAACAATAATAATAATTATAATAACAACAACAATAATAATAACAATAATGATTATAATAATAATAATAATTATAATAATAATAATAACAACAACAACAATAATAATAATATTAATAATAATAACAACAACAACATCAATAATAATAATAACAACAATAATAATAATAATAATAATAATAATAATAACAATAATAATAATAATGCACCCTTTATTATCTCTCTGCAGCAGGACACAGTTCGTGTTCCTGGACTCAGATCAAACTCTGAGTAGATAAACTCAGAGTCGGTGTTTGCAGCTCAGGATCAGAGTCCACTCTTTTATTTTACAGACTCTTTCAGACCGCTGAACTTCACTGTTAGTTTGATCCCTGAGGAGACAGACTGTACAGCTGGTTTCAGGAAACAAAGTTTGTTTGTTGAATTAAAATATCAAAGTTGTGACTGCAGGAGTGTTTTAGCCTCTCACAGGTTTACTGACATCCTGCTGTCGAGCGTGTCGACTCAGAAGAGACGCCTCAAACTCCTCAGTGACTCACAGACGTCAGCGTGATCAGAGACACTCAGCCTTCCTTCACTCTCTGCTGTAACAAACCGAGCTCACACTGACAGCTGACTCAGCTCTGGATCAGTCTGTAGGGGTCCACGGCTGCTGCAGGTGTGTCAGAGTGGGGGGGGCACTGGGGGAACACCAGCTGAGTGGGTGGAGAGTGTGTGTGTGTGTGTGCGTGTGTGTGTGGCCGGGCTGTTGTGTTGAAGTTTTGTGTAGATTTGTCACATGACGAGGAAATGACTGAGAGTAAGGGGGTGGGGGTAAGACTGATCAGGCTGCAGAAACAATCAGATTTATGATCAATATCATCATCATCCATACCTGTTGTTTTTGTCCACACTGATCTTTTTTTCTCTTTCTATCACTTTTCTTTAATACTCTTCTTTCTCTCTCTCTCTCTTTCTGTCTTTCTTTCTTTCTTTTTTATCGTAGTTTTTTCTCTTCTTTGTTTCTTTGTTTCTTTCTTGTTCCTGTATGAATGTTTGTTGTTTGTACTTCTGCAGGTTAATCTCCCCACTGAGGGGTGAATAAAGGAAAATCTAATCTAAGTTTATTTCTAACACACACACAGAGGAGAAGTTTGTCTGGATATTTTTGGAGCAACATTAGAGGAAAATGCAGATTAATATTCTGTGATGATCAGAAAATCTCAGATTTGATTCCAGTTAAAATTAATGAGGAAATAAAAATAATAAAATCAAAAATACACAAAAAAGTGTGTGTCTGTGTGTGTGTGTTTATGTGTGTGTGTGTGTGTGTTTATGTGTGTGTGTGTGTGTGTGTGTGTGTGGGGGGGGCATCCTGTTGAGGAGCAGGTCAAAACTTGTCGAGAAGAAGGGGGCGTGGTAAAGGAAGAACCGAACAACTTTGTGATTTCTTTCAAAATAAAAGCATGTCATCAGGACTCAAACACGGAAGAGCAGAGAGGCTCTGAGTGGGTCAACAAGCTGAAGGTGTCAACAAGGATTACAGAATATAATCACATGAAACAGAGGCTACAGTAAATGTACTGAGACATTTACTGCAGGTGAATAAAAGTGTCAAACATCTGATCAGCAGTTACAGATTAATGACAATAAAACAAATAAAAAGACTAAAGAAAAACAAATATCCTGATCTCCAAATGAAGATAAATAATGGTCAATTACTGTTTTATTTGCTAAAATTGTAAATATGTTTTGAAGCTGATAATTTATATTTGCAGTCTAAGTTATAAAAATGGTTTGTTAAACATGTTTGTGGTTTTTACAGTAAAATATTTTGCTTTTTCCCTCTCGGATTTTGTGTTTTTTTTCAGTCCTCTGTGCAAAAATAACTGTAAATTCACACAGATGAGGTTGTGCTGAAAAAATGAGGAAAACAGTTTTTAAGAGGATTATAAAAGAAAATCAGAATTAGTCAAAAACGGCCTATTATACCCCAGACTACAGAGGGTTAATATAATGACAGGAATCCTGAGATTATTAATGTTGAAACTCTCTTTACAGACAGGCTGTTTTAGCTGTAAATGTATGAGTGTATTAGGTTTATGTCTGAGTGCTGAGAGGGTTTTATTTTGAAATTCCAAACCGGAAACCGTCATTCCTCCTCCAGTGTTGTGAAATAAAGTCGAAGAGCAGCAGAGCTGAGAGTGAACAGAAACACAGAGAAACAGAGAGACAGCTGCCGCCTCCTCCTGCTCCTCCTCTTTCTTCATCTGATGGGTTAAATCAGAAACATGTCGAGTCTAAACTGAGACAATCCGAACCCACAGAACCGGACATGGATTAACAGACTGCCCTCCGGACCGGACTCGAACAGAACCGAGAGTGAACCTTTGGTGGTTTTGGTCCATTTCCTTCTCCTCTGATGTCCACCTGTCCCCGAGTGTCTCTGACCTGCAGACAGCCTCACCACGGAGCGACACATCACACAAGTAAGTAACGAGCTTTAACTGTCTCTGATTAACAAACATGATCAATAACACTGAGACTGAAGCAGCATGGGTTTGGACCGGGTCTGACAGAACCTCCTCCGAGTCTGACAGAACCTCGGAGTTTAGTATCAGCTGTCTGTGAGAAAACACGGAGAGGAGAGGACGACTGCTGTCTGTGATACCTCTGTACAATAATAATAATGATAATGATAATAACAATAAATGAATAATAAAATAATAATAATAATAATGTTCATTTTGAGGGTGTTTTCCAGCAGTCTCTCTCTCTCTCTCTCTCTCTCTCTCTCTCTCTCTCTCTCGAGGCTGTTTCACCCATTGTTGGTGTTTTTTTTTTAATGATCTTTGTTGTTTTTTGGGACATGTCCTGACATGTCAGACACTAAACTAAAGTTCTGTTTTATTAATAAAAAACTGCAGATAAAAATAAAAGTTCAAATCTGTCCAGGACAGAAAATCAGCTGAGAGTCTGAGAGTCTGATCAGGACAGTCTAAAAGTTTCACATCTTCATCACATGAGTGAGTTTAAGGCTGTAAAACTTTCAGTTGATGTTAAAATTATTATTATTATTATTATTATTATTAGATATTAGATTTTTATTATTAGATTTTTTTTTCCTCCTTGTCTGTAAAATGTGTGTTTTGTATAAAGTTGTAATCAATAAAAAAGTCTTCAATCGCTGTAATATTTCTGTTCATCTCAGATTTTCACTGATTTCTCCTCATAAAAACATTCATTTAAATATTATTCATTATTTTTGTTTTTACCGGTTTAATGTCGTTCAGACTCGCGTGGCTCGCCTCTGTGCACGCGCTCCTCTCCGTATTACTGAGTTTGTGCGCGCGTGCGTCTCCTCGTGCTCTTCGGCACGGATTTGTTTACAAACACGAGTCTCGTGCTCATGAAGGAGAGGAGCAAACGCCCCCTGGCGGTGAGAGAGGAATATAGGTCGGTGGGTCAAACAGCGAGAAGGGGGGGCAAAATTAAAACAACGAAGTTTGATTTAAAAAATAATCACGTTTTTTACCCTCAGAGTGTGAAAATCTGAGTGAATCTGAATTAAAGTCAAACTTGTTATTTTAGTTCATGTTCGTGTTTCTATCAGTGAGTGAGGGTCTCTGTGTTTACTCCAGAATAAGTGAATGAGTGAATCTAACCCTCGAGTTTAACTCTGTAGTTATTTTTAAATCTCTGTTTCTGTAGTTTTTTATTTTTCTCTGTTTCTGTAGTTTTTTATTTTTGTTTCTGTAGTTTTTTATTTTTGTTTCTGTAGTTTTTTTATTTTTTCTGTTTCTGTAGTTTTTTTATTTTTCTCTGTTTCTGTAGTTTTTTATTTTTGTTTCTGTAGTTTTTATATTTTTGTTTCTGTAGTTTTTTATTTTTGTTTCTGTAGTTTATTTATTTTTGTTTCTGTAGTTTTATATTTTTGTTTCTGTAGTTTTTTATTTTTGTTTCTGTAGTTTTTATATTTTTGTTTCTGTAGTTTTTTATTTTTGTTTCTGTAGTTTATTTATTTTTGTTTCTGTAGTTTTTTTATTTTTGTTTCTGTAGTTTTTTTATTTTTGTTTCTGTAGTTTTTTTATTTTTGTTTCTGTAGTTTTTTTAATTTTTGTTTCTGTAGTTTTTTTATTTTTGTTTCTGTAGTTTTTATATTTTTGTTTCTGTAGTTTTTATATTTTTCTCTGTTTCTGTAGTTTTTTATTTTTGTTTCTGTAGTTTTTTTATTTTTGTTTCTGTAGTTTTTATATTTTTGTTTCTGTAGTTTTTTTATTTTTGTTTCTGTAGTCTTTTATTTTTCTCTGTTTCTGTAGTTTTTTATTTTTGTTTCTGTAGTTTTTTTAAATTTTTGTTTCTGTAGTTTTTTATTTTTCTCTGTTTCTGTAGTTTTTTATTTTTGTTTCTGTAGTTTTTTTATTTTTGTTTCTGTAGTTTTTTTATTTTTGTTTCTGTAGTTTTTTTTTCTCTCAGCTCTCCTCTCAGATGTTTTCATGTTTTTTTGTCGGCCTGTTTTTTCAGGCTGGTCCTGAGATGGCCCGAGCAGAGACCATCGAGAAGGTTGGAGAGTCTGGAGGGGGAGGAAACCTCCCTCTTTCTCGCCACAACACCTGCCGCATGGAGCTGCCTCG